GATCTTTAAAAAATCGTAAACTTTTAACTTTACTTTGTAAATTTTTAGCTTTTCAAAATTTTAAATTTCTATCAATTTACTTTTAATCTATTTATATATGAAGAAATTTTTATTAGTATTTTTATTCATAATAAAACAAAACTGAAAAATAATTTCAAATTCGTTTTAAGATAACAGTTAGGATATAACTTCTTAATATAATATTATATTATAGATTAACTTAGTTAATCAATTAATCTTAATTAATTTTTAATAAATTAATTAATTAATTAATTTAATTAATTAATCTTAATTAACTTATAAACTATACTTAGATATAACTTCTTTCATAAAAATTTATTTTTATTTTTCGAAATTTTTCGAAAGTTAATTACTTATTCTTTATAATTATAGCTTTAAAATCATAAGAATTACTAATTTTAGTAAAAAAAATTTCAATTGTTTAAATACAAAAGGTTATTCGTTATTTTATTAAGTTCATTTAGTGGCACATCCGAAATCACGTAGTCGTAAACTAATATCAAGACATTAAAAGTGACACTTTTATAATATCATTTTTATAAATGACTTTATTTTCAATTTCAATATTCCCATAACATTTATTTTATATTGTACTTATTTGTCCGAGATTATCTCTGGTATTAACTATTTGATAGATTTTATTTCCATGACATAAAATTTGTGAAAAGTACGTTCAGCATGTTCTCTGTATTTAAATTTTAGCTACTTTGGAAATAATTATTTAAATGATGTTTCAACAATTGCAGGTCTTTACAATCTAGTATAAATATTTCTGCCTAGAAATTATTATTCCTTCGAAATTACTCAGCAACGCTGAAATTGTATATATTCGTCATGGATTTAACAATGTTAAATTGTAATCATTAAAGCAATAAACATTCTCATTTGCCTCTTCAAATTTTTAACCAGTAGAATGTATCGAAAACAATTTTATTTTCAAAATTAAATGTTATGATTTGTGGATCGTAGAATTGTATATTTAATAGTTAAAAATATGCTCGATATTTCTCCATCATAAATCTAATGGTAGCTGCCTAAAATGCATATGTATGAAGAACATTTGTGAAATTAATATTAAATAATAGTTCTGTAAAGTTATTAAACGATATGGCCTTTTCTTGTCAGTCATCCACTGCCGCTATCGTCGTCTACGCTGCAACAGTCGCCGCCGCGCCGCTACCGTCGTTTCCATCGCTTTCATTGCCTTCTAAGAGTAACATCATTCGCTGCGGTGGTAGTAACGGCGACGGCGGCTCGCAGTCCCCACTGGTGAGTCCCAGTTGGTCTTTCGCTTTTCCCCACTTTGTAGAAGCGCTCGCCGCGCGCGGCTTTTGAGCTTCGAGAACTCGCTAGTGTTACGACCCGCAGTTAGATCGAGTCCGTTCGCGTATTCGGGTTAATTTTGAATAATCGTCTGAGAGAGAAAAAGAGAGCGAAGAAACGAGTGATAGCAATAGAGTATATAAGACAGAGAGATAGATAGATAGATAGATAGATAGATAGATAGATAGATAGATAGATAGATAGATAGATAGATAGATAGATAGATAGATAGATAGATAGATAGATAGATAGATAGATAGATAGATAGATAGATAGATAGATAGATAGATAGATAGATAGATAGATAGATAGATAGATAGATAGATAGATAGATAGATAGATAGATAGATAGATAGATAGATAGATAGATAGATAGATAGATAGATAGATAGATAGATAGATAGATAGATAGATAGATAGATAGATAGATAGATAGATAGATAGATAGATAGATAGATAGATAGATAGATAGATAGATAGATAGATAGATAGATAGATAGATAGATAGATAGATAGATAGATAGATAGATAGATAGATAGATGAGAGAGAGAGAGAGAGAGGGAGAGAGAGAGAGAGAGAGTTTGTGTAATTAAGTGTGTAAGTGAGGCATAATAAACATAGTAGCGGATTTTGGGTTACATTTGCGAATTAACTTACGTAATACTTATAGCGATCATAAATTCTGTACATCAAGGAGTGCTATTCCTTGATATATTTTGTCAATTAGATTATATTTTAGTTATCTGTGACTATTTGTATCGTCTTCGTTTTACCTTAGATTTGTCGCTAAGGGGATTAAATTAATCGAGTTGAGTTTGGTTTTCAATTTGACAAATTAATCACCAAGAGTGTCATTTTATATTATTGGAGATAAAGAATCAATTAGAGAGAGAGAGAGAGAGAGAGAGAGAATGAAAAAGTGAGAGAGAAAGCGAAAAATCACTTAAAATACAGGGGATAAAAAAGAACAAAAGGGAACGAAAAAAACGGGACCTCGCGGTGCCAAAAAAATGTTTCGGTCACTACATAAGTCGATCTTTCTTTGAGTTGTGGAGAACAGTGAGGGAAAACGATCATTTACGTAAGAAGCGTGCCCGCATTTCAAACGCCACGTAAGTTTCATAACTGCCCGGGTTACTTACTACTTTCGTGTGCAAAAGCGATCTCACGCTCCCTAAGGAGCGCATGCGTGCGTTAAATGTCCTACGCAATTTTTTAATCTTGTGGACCTGTGTCCTAAGGAGGAGAGGAAGCATCAGAAATCAGCAAAATTATACATAAACTAAAGAAAACTCATGGAAAGAAAAAGAGTAACTAAAAGTAGATGTAAATTTTTTTCTTTTAATTCTACATGTTTGTGCCTTTAATTATTTTTCCCCTATGGTAATATAATACCCTTTACATTTTAAAGTTCTGTAAGAATACTTAATCCTCAAACTTTTTATAACTTTTTACTATTAAGATCCTAATTAGACCGACAAGAGCATCATAATACTGTTGAATCCGCTTTCCTTTTAAAAGAAGCATACAGAATAGTTTAATTTATTTCAATTTTTACTCCTTTTCTTTACCTTTTTCTGTTTCTCCATATATTTTTGTTTATCACTTCTCTTCTCACACATTTTCTTTCCCTTTTTTTTATTAAAAAATTAAATATATATATAATTTTTTTAATTGTATATTGCATAAGACGAATTTTAAAATGGTTGTGTATAAGTTGCAAATAAGTTCTTTCATAATTGCACGTTTTTTAAGCCAGAAAATAGGCATACATATGTCGGTAATCACTTCATTACTGATACAACGGAAAATTACTTACAGTATTTAGTAGAAAAATAGTAAAAAATTCATTAATACAGTATTACAATTATTACAATAATAAAATGTTTATTTAAAAATAATTTATGCTATTTTCAAATAGTAAAACTTATCACAGATTATCCTATATTTAGAGTTATATTTGAAAAGTGCTTACTAAAGTTACTTTATCAAAAAAGTTTTGTAAATTATTTCTACATATATATTTCTACATATTTATTTAAAAATAATTATATATTGTTGAATAGAGTTAGTTCATTTTCTGCACATGAAGCTACTTTTGGGATACAATAGTTTATCATTATTACATTAAGTGCACAGTCACTCGCATAAGTATCAGTGTAAGCAATGCCAAATGATTAAATGTGAATAATCGCAATTCTATTTCGTTCCTATAAGAATAGTATATTATAATGATTACACTTTAGTCTACTTCAATATGATAATGGAATAAGAGTATTTTTATTACAAATGTTTGATCTAATTTTATTATTAATTTAAGTTATTCTATATTTTTACCTGCATTAAACTTTCAATTATTTAAAAAAATTTTTAATTGACAATAACTAAGTTAAAGTTTAAATAATTATTGTTTTATAAATACCACAAAGTAATTTTTTAAATAAGTTAAAATAAAAATAAAAAATATTATTGCCAATTGATCATTTTTATAGTTCATAAAATTTATACTACAGTCATAAAGAAAACCAACTAAAAGAATCTTTAGTCTAACATTTGTAAATTTAAAAATTATAGAATATTGATATAATATTAGAATCAATCCTAAAATCATACATGTAAAACATAATATTAAATCATTTTCTAAAAAAATCTAAGCATATATATTTATGCAAATTGTAAGGTTATATTTCGTTTTTCAATTTCGTTTTTCCTTTCTTTTTTCTGAATTATATTTTTCTATACTTCCTCTATGTAAACTCGACATTATATCAGTAGCATTCAATGGAGTTTTGTTTGTATAACGAAGGGGTGCATTTCAGATTTGCTATCAGTGATGTGATTACAGTTACTACTAAGCTTCAGTCTGTATTAAAAATCTTTCATTTATAATGCAGTTCTGTCTTATGAATTCTGTACAATTTTCTATAACATAGAAGATTGTTTTGAGATCTGGCTTCTTATGAATGTGTATATTCTATATATTCATAAATTGATCTTAAGTTATCGGAAAATTGTTAAATTTAAGAAAAAATCTAATTTCGTTCGCTTTTTATAGATTTTACTATTATACGTTTGTTATACAATAGAAAATAAAAGATATTTATTTAGCTTTTCTTGTATTACAATTGAAATCTCGTTTATTGAAATAAACCTATTATTATTACAAGTAAATTCAATTTCAGAATTCATAAAATAAAAAATTATTTATAAATTAAAAATTAAATTTATATAAAGATAATATGACTATGATTTTTTATATCAGTAGCTTTTCATTGTAAAAATGACTTTTAAATTGAATGACACCATCAGGTGAAATCACGTATTTACATTAACTATATATATATATATATATATATATATATATATATATATATTTATACATAAATATATACATAAAAAATATACTACGAAACTTTTACTTAATAGGAACATAATAACATTAATTTAATTAACAATTTATTTATTTTGTGTCTGGTTGCATGTGGGCGTACGTGTTAATTGAACCGAATTTGAACTCCGTGTTAAAATTAATAATCATTCAATATTCTATTACTAAAGTTTTACTCTTTTTCCTTCCTATAAGAAAGCAGAGGAAACGTAGTTAACCGTAAGTCACGTTAATCTTCATACCAAATTTGTGAAGGCTACCAGTGGATATTGGTGTAGTGAATCTTGGACTCCACGTACGAGATATTTTATATTTCAATAGAAAACAAAAGAAAGAACAAAATATATCCATGTATTTATTTGAAAGATAACAGTGACAGTTAATAACAAGCATTTAAAATAATTGTAATTATTGAACGAAATAGTGTTTGTGCCGTACGACGTAAAGGATGAGGAAGATTTCGCACATTGCTAGTATGGAAACATGAAGAAGGCACAAGTTACACAGCGACCCAAGCAGGACCAACTTTTGCTCAACGACAATACATGACGTCAGTTTTTATGCTACTTTTATAAATTTAAGCCAATAAGATAAATAACAATATAACAAATTGCGAGCCCTTTTTATTTGTCTATATTAATATATTTTTGTAAATGAATAGATTATTATTAAGCTAATTTTTTAAATTCCATCTACTTGATTTATATTTTTAATTATTGCAGTTATATTTATATCCTCGAATTATAATTTACTTATGAATTAACTAGCACCATTTTGTTATGAATTTTCAATAAGTAAATTACATACTAATTATATATTAAATTATGAATAATGTAAAGTTTTTAGAAGAATATAATAACTTCTGTGATGTATTAATTACGTATTATGTTAAAATACTATTGAATGATTATAATTTTTTGTATTAAATGTATATAGAATTATCATTTATATAATAGTAGCTTTATTACAAAATAGATATTGATTTAGAAATTTTCTTTATTTTAATGTTTACTTTCTATTTTAATTAGTTATATCCAAATAATTTGGTTATTCAATATTTTGTTTAACAAGTAATGGAAATATATTTACGACGTTATTTATATCTGCAAAGAATATTTATTTTGATATATTATTTTAATAAATCAAATCTTATTTACATATTTAAAAAATAAATATATAAACATAATAATAAAGGAGACATTTTTTTAAAAAAGAATTAATTATTTATATATTTTTTCAAATATTAATAGACCTATAGAACTTATTAAACATCAATAAATATTTTATTTTTATACATTCAAGTCAGTTGATTGTTAATAGAAAAAATAAATATTTCTTTGTAAGATATTTATATTATGTAGGGGTTAATTCATTTAATGCTAATTTAAATTTCAGTTGAAACAAGTATACATATATTCTTTGAAGCAAATATATATAAAGTATAAAAAATAACTAAGAAATTGTACATTTACAAACCCTTCAATAAGTTTATTTTAATTCAGTAGTTTACATTAAAATATCATTAAGAAAAGTTGTAAAGCCTTATCTGTTGTGAGATTGCTAATATTAAATTAAAAAAATATTTTTAAAAAATATTTACCATGTATAATAATAAATATTTTATATTATATCGATAATTTTTTTTCAACATTTAAAGATTTGTAAAATATATTTATTATTTTAAAGAAAAATTTCAATGTTATTAAATGCTAACACTAGAAATATCATTTTATATAGATATTTAAAATTAATTTTAGATCTATTTTAAACAAATTTAAAGCTTTGTTACAGAATAAAGCAGTTTTTAAATTATTATGGTATAAAATAATTTCAATACATTATTACTTTATTACTGCATAATTGACATTTCTATAGAAAAAGTGGATATTAGTTAATAATTTTAAGATATTTAATCACTTATATATACAATTACATAATGACTTTATTATGATTTATTAATACTTAAAGTAGATGAATATTTAATTTTTATAAATAAATTAATTTCTGTACAGTCTTAATAATTTAAATTAAAAGTTTAATTGAGACTTCATAAAATTTGAATTTTGTGAAACTGAATGGTATAATTAAAAAAGCATTCTGTTATTATTAAAATTTATATAAATATTCGATTTTTTACAATTTATTTGTAATGAATATATTTCTAATAATATATATATTTTTACAATCTTAATTTAGAAAGAAATTCAATTATTGAATACCTTGAGGAAATTAAAAATTTACCCATAAAGAATAAATATATGTAGTAAATCGCTTGCATGTATTTTATCGGAACATATTATTTAGATATATAAGCAAAATTGATACCAAGAATTGAGCTTACTTGACGAAAGTCTGATTTATGTAATGGAATTTAACAAATATATCATAGAATAACATATATTATATAGCATCTATTATATTACATATTTTTCAAGTGCAGTTGAAGTAGTTGTTATGAATAAATGGATTGGAGCAAAACTTAATATTGAAATTGGATATTATTATAAATCATAATATATGGCAACATATTTACTTCAGACGTAATCTAGTTTATAAGGATTTTTCGTAATTCGTTGAATTTTTTTTATTTTTTTAAAGAAAACTAATGTTGTGTAAAAGAATTAAAATTTTTCGATTCTAAGTTTGTCTATAAGTTTTTATTATTTTATAAATAATTTAGTTTATTTTATTTATTTTATTATGATTATTTTGAAATTATCTCTCTATTATCATTATGATTGAAAATGTAAGTTATATATATTTATGTAGAGATAGAAACGCAAATGATATCAAAACTTAAATATTTAATAACTTTTAATATTTTTAAAAATAGTGTTAATTTATATAAATAATAATTCATTCATTTCAGTTTTAATCATACCAGAGATAATTTATATACTCGATATTTCATTTAATTTTTAAATTAAATAAAAATATATACTTTTCGGGACGTAGAAATCATAATTGAAATTTTGTATATCTTTTTTGATTTAAAAACCTGAAAATTTAAAAACCCAATATATCTCTCACATGTTAAATATAATTTTGTATATTTACATAAATATCTGATTGATCTCTTATTATAATCAACTTTTTGTTAAAAAGGTTAATGCAAGATTTTATTATGCGTTGTTTCTGCATAGGTGCATACAAAAATTGTTAATCGTTGATGTTGTCGACTGGACTTATGCTTTCTTGAATAATTATATTTTAGAAATCTTAATTCTTTTTGTATTAATTATTACGTTTAATAATACGTGACATAAATAGACATAAATGGTTCTCGATAAGTTTAGAATTCCCAGAATTTTATTCGGATTATATAACTTCCCTGTTTTATTTATCTGTACGGCTTCATAGATATCCAAATTTAATGCTATATATATGAGAGATGCGAAATTTCTCCAATAAACTCATTACATCTATTTTACGCGATAAATACAATCTAAAATAAGTATTTATTAAATATATTAAGTTTAAAACTTTGGTAGACATTAAATGATGAATAAATAGAGATTTTTATTTGAGATTATCGTAAAATATTAAATTTAAGCAAAATAATAAGGTATAGCTGATGAAAATAATAGTAAATATATTTTACTTTAAGATATGAAATTGTATAAATTTTGTTCGTGATAAATAAAAAAGCGAACAGTTTATTTTGATTTTTAATTTTTTTATTTTGAATTGTTTTCTATAATTTTATACGAAATGATGACAAACCAATGATAAAATTCATTCGTGTATAGTTTATTCGACAGTTTTTACTCCGCACGTTTTTACTTTTCGTCGCATAGATTGACAGATCTGTTGCAAAAATGTAAATCACATATTATTTCTTTTATTAATAGTATAGAATAAATATTACACTGGATGGCCAACAAATAATTATATAAATATGTATTTGAGTTTAAAATAATAATAAAAAATAAATTAATTTAATAACTTAATGTTTTATATATGTATTATTTGACTGACACAATGTAAATATAAATATAAAAAATAGTATATAAAAATATAAAAACGTAATTTTAAACTATTATAATGCTCATTTTATAAATTTGAAATATTATTTCTTTATTTACATAATATTATAAATTTAGTTTAATATAATAATTTTATTTATTATACTTCTTATGTTTACATATTTTAATTATATTCTACATTTTTAAGAATGGTTTATAGAATATTATAGAGTGCAAATTTATCAAGCAAATATTTTAAAGAACTTAAAAAAAGGTTTAATAGCTATTAAAAAAATATTTTTTTTATTAAGTATCTTATTTGAATATATTATTAATATAAACATCATTTTTAAATAATTATCTGAATTTCTTGATCATAATTTTTTTTCAACTTTATCTCTAAATATGTTATGTTTAATAATTGGTTAAATGAAATAAAACAAAGAAGAAAATTTTAATTCATAAGTTAATAACTTTGATATGTAAGTTTTTTTATTTATTTTTATTAAAGAACATATTTTTTGATACGGAATGTTTCATCCATATAGACAATATTTAATAACTTAAACAATAATTAAAAAATTATTCATTAATTTTTTAGTGTTTATTTCAGTATAAAACATTTGCTTCGAACTATAATAAAATTTGTATTTTTTAAAATAAATCTTTTTTTATAAAATGTAAAATATGAATAATTTATTAAAAACCGATAAGTCATATCAAAAACATATTTCAATTTATATTTGTATCTACTATAATTTTAATATATTTAACTTTATTGTCGTTTAAATAAACTAATTCTATATACTGATTTATAGTAAATAAACGAATATTTAATAGTTGATATGTATTTTCAAGTAATTTTCTTTTTAAATGTAAGAGAGACATTATAAAAAAATTTTTTATTTATTTTAAGCTAAGTAAATCAGAATTAACTACTCACATAATTTAGCGTGAAGTTTGCTTGTAATTAAATTTTTATAGAAATATATGAATGACTATTACAAATTTCAACACTTTCTGTTTCATTTTAAAAATTGTTATTTCAGTGCATACTTCATCCAATGGTACCAAAATTTAATTAATTATTTAAATATGTTATCTTTTACAAATTTAATATTAGTTCTGTACATTTATATAATGCAGATTTAATTAAGTATATTGCAACATAAATTAAACTATTTATTTTATTATTTTATTTTATTGTTGTTATTTTATTAATTTTTTTTAATTAAATTAATTTACTAATTAGAAAAGACTGTTATTTTATTAATAGTTCTTATATTAAATAAAATAATTTTTTTAATGAATTTGAATTGAATGATTTTTTTATTTGTGATATGTTTGATATAAAGAACCTTATTAAACTATTTATAATAGTACTTATATTTATTTATTGGTAAAAATAATATTTAAAATATATTGTAATGTGTTATAATAAAAACAATATTAATATTGATATTAAATCTAAAATATGTTTTTGTTGATCTATACAAAATTTTTATTTTTTTTTTGACTAATTATTTTAATATATTATCAACATGGAAGAATCTTTTAATTTATATACACGAGTTTTCTAATAATT